TTAGTGTACATGAAATATGAAGGAGCTGCAAGCAGAGTTCCATGACTCCTGTATGTATGTAAACACACACATATATATACGTATATATATATATCCTCTAGCATTTTCTCCGCCTGGAGCGATATAATATATCTGACGAAATTGTTTTTATAAGCATTTTTTATTAAAGAATTATAAATACTTCGATAAACATATTTAAATAATTTTAGTGCCATTAAGGCCTTGATTTAAAAAAAAGAAAAAAAAGAATGATTTTTTAATTGGATACCGATCATAGCTGTACATTTTGTTTTCACAGACCTCCTATTTGCTCGGAGCCATACAGCAAGTCCAGATTTGCACGATGTTGATAAAGACGACATTGTGTGTAAGTGACTTGTTTTAATGTTTTCTCCTTCCTTGTTACTGTGACTTGCGTTTGATTTTTTATTCATACCACTCTCATTTAATTGTTTTCCAGCTGCCTGTAAGACGTATTTTGAGACGGTACGCAGGAGCTTCAGATATACGCTGCCAGCCAACCCGTTGCGTGCTGAGGCAATCTGCTCGGAGTCGGGCCAGAAGAAAGAGGGTAAGACTTTATTTGGTGACTATTTTTCAGGTGCATTGATAGATGTGTTGTGTCCATACGCAGTGCGCTGATTCATTGTTTTTTTTTCAGCTGCTGAAAGCGAGGCAGAGTGTGCAAGCAGATGAGGAAGTGGAACCCTGGAAGTCCGCCTTCCTCGGCGGTGTCTCTGGATGGATTGTACGGTCGCCGCCATTTCGTAGGCCGGATCTCACTGAACTCTGTGTTAAGCTGCAGTCCCGGTTAGAAGCGATGCCGAAGTACAGGGCCACGCACAGTAGGCGTCTGCACATCGGACCTGCCTCGGAGGGAATGCTGCCAGTTACCTCCAACCCCGAGGAAGCAAACGGACCGTTCACAGACTTTTAATTTTTAGAAACGCATGTGTTTGGGTACGCGTTGTATATAGTTGTGTGTGTTTTAATAAAGCTCTTTCTTTGCATAAACAGCTTCCTGGCAAATGTTCATTTCCTGTATAAATTCATTCATGTCCTTGATGGTAGCATAATAATTGTGTAGTAGTGTAGGATAACATAAATACACATCATATGAATGAATAAATATATGAATGAATAAATATATATATATATGAATAAATATATATATGTAAATTTATATGTAAATATATATATATGCCAACCAATCACGAGCGACTTTACTTGTTTAAAAAGAAGCGGTTCCGTCCAATACTCAGTAAGAAAATTAAAGCCTGGCGTGGCCACGTGTGGTTTTGCTGCCAATCACGAGCGATTTCATTTGTTTGAGAATAGTGGTTTCAGCCAATACTGAGAAGGTTATTCAAGCCAGACCTGGCCAGCCGCGCGGGTTTGCTGCATTCATATGCTAATTAGGGCCATTAGTACAGCTGATCGCTCTCCACATACGTCATGGTACGTTTCCGACAATTTGTGGCACGACAAACGCGGACAAGCACGGGTTGCAAATTGTCGGAAACTGACGAAAATCAGGCAGATCTGCGGGAGTTTACGGGGACGAAAATCTCACTTTTCATGCAGTGAGGGCTGCCCTTTGTCACCGATTCTGTTAATTACCTTCATGGACAGAATTTCTAGGTGCAGCCAAGGTGTTGAGGGGATCCGTTTTGGTGGCCTTAGGATTGCGTCTCTGCTTTTTGTAGATGATAATATTGTCCTATTGGCTTCATCAGGTCGTGATCTGCAGCTCTCGCTGGATCGGTTCGCAGCCGAGTGTGAAGCGGCCGGGATGGGGATCAGTGCCTCCAAATCCGAGGCCATGGTCTTGAGCCGGAAAAGGGTAGAGTGCCTTCTCCGGGTCAGGGGGGGTGTCCTGCCCCAAGTGGAGGAGTTTAAGTATCTTGGGATCTTGTTCACGAATGAGGGAAGAAGGGAGCGGGAGATCGACAGGCGGATTGGTGCTGCGTCTGCCGTGAAGCGGGCGCTGTACCGGTCCGTCGTGGTGAAGAGAGAGCTGAGTCAAAAAGCGAAGCTCTCGATTTACCGGTCGATCTACGTTCCTACCCTCATCTATGGTCATGAACTCTGGGTCATGACCGAAAGAACGAGATCGCGGATACAAGCGGCCGAAATGGGTTTCCTCCGTAGGGTGGCTGGGCTCTCCCTTAGAGATAGGGTGAGAAGCTTGGTCATCCGGGAGGGACTCGGAGTAGAGCCGCTGCTCCTCCACGTCGAGAGGAGCCAGTTGAGGTGGCTTGGGCATCTGTTTAGGATGCCTCCTGGACGCCTCCCTGGTGAGGTGTTCCGGGCACGTCCCACCGTGGGGAGGCCCCGGGGAAGACCCAGGACACGCTGGAGAGACTATGTTTCTCGGCTGGCCTGGGAACGCCTTGGGGTTCCTCCTGAAGAGCTGGAAGAAGTGGCTGGGGAGAGGGAAGTCTAGGCCTCCCTTCTTAAGCTGCTGCCCCCGCGACCCGACCCCGGATAAGCGGAGGAAGATGGATGGATGGATGGATGGATGGATGGATGGATGGATGGATGGATGGATATCTAGAAATATTTACACATTTTAAGTCGACGTTCTGACATTTATCAGCTTGACTGAAAATGCATGTATGATATCTGATATAATACAAATATCTGAATAATACAAATGCTGACCAATAATATTAAGAATATGGAGATCTGAAATTAATTCATAGACATCCAGAATGTTTATTCTAGATGTGGAGAATATAATTTTGTTTAAAAAGGTCATTTAGACAAAGAAAAAAAGATGCAGATAACAGAAATGCATATTTAGTAAAACTAGTACATATCAAAACATCTTGCCATAGTTGTTGTTACCATGAAAATATGGGATTATTTCTTGAATGGGAGAATGTATCTATTTAGGTGAAATATTCTGACAGCAGGTGAAAATGAAGTCTAAAAATGTTCTAATATATAGAACCTGTGGATCATCATCATGTTGATTCATTCTTTTACACAGTAAAGTGGCTATATGCAGCTGCGCTTCGGATGTCATCATCCCAATAATTAGCCGTTATAAGCGACTATCATTCCCATAGACTTGCTTCAGATTGTCCCAGGAGGCTCATTAGGTTGTTATCATTGAGTGAATCCTAATCCTAACCCTAAAGTAATACCTTTTCCCCTGTCTTAATGAATCTATTTATGTTCAATCTGAAAATAATTTCAGTAGTTCTTCATGTACTTTAAATATAACTAAATAAAAATTGTATTATTCACATCTCGCTCATATTAAACAAACCATGGCAAACTGCTAATGTTGCTAATGCTAAATCAACATGAATGTGCAAACATAAATTCTCATACGTACCTTGAGAAAAAAATGGGTTAGGAGAAGGGGTCTGGATGAACATATCAATCTTTTTTATTCCTAAATCTGTGTGTTATGATTAATTTAAAGTTAATTTCAGAAGGACTGTATATGTTAAATATCAAGTTATCACTATGATAACAACTCCGACTGAGTGATTTGACCACATTAATGTTAGGTTTATACTTTTATACAACATGTGCATTGTTACTTTGTTAGCCAGATAGAGAGAGCAAATGGCCTTCCTTTACATTGTGGATGTCACTTTGTGTAAGTAGGTCATCTAAATAGGACAGCCTTCTTGTCTTTTAAAGATACACAGGATATGGGCACATCTTGGAGCCAGACTGATAGAGGAGATGTATCTTTAATCTTGGGTATAGAGGCAAGATGCATACAGGTCAGGGCCTGGATGGTGTGTCAGTTTCTGATACGGACAGCTAAACATCCACAGGATCCAGCACATAGACTCATGAGCTATAAGACGGAGAAGATGACCTTGTTCGGGGCTCAATCTTTGCCGGACACTCGTGGACGTGATTTTTTGAGCCCACAGCTGTGCAAGCTCCAAGCATTTTCTCTGTCCTGTAACAAACTGATCTGGAATAAACTCTGTTACTTTTTTACTCCTGTTTTTATAGTCCTTTTTTATATAGTTTTACCCAGTTTGAGTTAAGAGTAGTAAGTAACTTGTTCCCAGGAAAAGAACCGGTGGGGAAGTCCTGAGGCGCAATCGCTTTTTATGGGACAGTAACTTCCTCATTTAACAATAATTACCTGTCCGGAATTCCTATCAATGGCCGTCTCTCAATATGCAATCTCATGTGCCCGTGTACTCGTGAAATGTCATCAGCCTTTGCCCTAGTACTGTTCCAATTCACAAGAACAGCAGACCGAGAACAGACAAAGTCCATGGACGTTATTGTCGCCCCTCCCTATTTACAGAGTATACATCAGAGCAGACTTGTTCGTTCTTGAGACTGACAGCTTTCCCAGCATGCACTGCTGCAGCAGCAGCTTCCAATGTAGCTCTCACAGGGCTCAGAGTATTAAATTAAAAGCTAACTTTTCTGTTCTGGTGTTGTTCAGTAAAAGTATGTTTTAAGATAATTTGAGGTGAGACCATAATACTTTTAAACATCACTATATGTCCTATTTACAGGTTTAATGTGTAATTAAAAAAGAAATGTACAAAGTTGACAGGAACGCGGCAACCAGCGAACCTCCAAGGGTAACGGCAGCCATGTCTAATGCTATCCCGTCTGCAGTAGCCCTCTCTCTGCAAAGCCATGTGTGACGGACCGCTGGCCTATTGGTTTTATTTGGCAAAATGTTCATTTGATTTGTGTTTATCTGACTGTGGTAATTACTATTCCCCCAATAAGTGAAAAAAAATCAGAATTTATTATTATCTGGAGACTATTAATAACAGGAGGGGAAATGCAGCTCCAGATTAGCCAAGCATGTGGTGAAGTCACGAGTACGCTTCTGTTCCAATTGACCCATATTTATGCTGCGTGCTCCCATTCTCACCAGTCCATACTTTCCTGTGTTCTTCTCATGAACATACTTGGCGAGGACACAAGTCTGTACTCGTGTTCTTATGAACTGAGGCACGGTCAATGAGTTTAAATAATTGTATTTAAGGTTTTACCTGATTTGGGTTGTTTTTCTCCACAACACCATCTCTGTCAGCATCCACGTCTAGTGAGAGCTCTGAAAGACAGAAATGTTTTGTTTTCCTTTAATGCTTTTGTATGGACTTACCATTTAACGCAAAGACTCAAACACAGTACAGTTATAGTTTTACCAGTCCCTGTTACAGCAATAATATTTAGACTGTAACCTACTGATAAAAAAAAAAAAATCTGTGATGACCTGTTAAAGTTTAGCTAAAAAAGAAATAGATTGTACATCAAGAATTGTTGTTATGCAAAACAAAACTTACCAAGAGGTACAATCCTAATCTCTGCCCAATCCATATAAGCTTTGTCCTCCTTATAGAACCAGATAGACACCTTAGAAAAAAGGAAAATGCTGATTATGCATGAAAAAGGGCTACCAGTTTAACATCAAATGTTACAATATCAGTTGAGAACGTTGCAGTCATATAAAGAATAATATCCATCTATAGCTGCAATGATAGCAGGAGTTGATCTGTCTCATCAGTATAAAATATTTGCTCCTAGAGCACAATGGGGTTGAAAATAGATTTCTTCCAAACAGCCATGTGTTGTAATTTTGTTTTCACAAATTTAAATGGAGTATCTTTAAACAAAAACAAGATTTTCGATTTAACTACTGTGCAAATTACCTCTTCGTTGTAGTTGATGTCAAAATGAAAGTTAGGTTTCGTGCTAATGTGTAACACTGTGTTTCCACTGAGGGGCATAGGAGACAGATGGGAAGTCTCGTTCGGTGTTGGGGTAATGGTGTATAGAACATTGCGTGAGCACTTCACAGAGAAGAACTTGCAACCGAGAGGGGCATCCCTGAAAACCAGAAGAACAACAGATTTTGTTGGAAGATTTTTTACTGTCCTTTTCAAAACTAATTATGCTCCTTAAACGTTTCATGAAGTAGCAACGAAAAAATGCAATGCCTTTCTTTGTGACGCACATGAATTCTTCCTATAGTCTCTTAAATAAATACAAATATAAAATAATCAATAAAAAAAAAAAAAAAATCGGTCTTGATCCAACCAATTGTCAGAACTTCAGAAACGTTCTTTGGATCAAACCGCGTTTAAAGTGACCTATTTACCTTATAATAAACGTTCACATGTCCAGCCAATAACCATGGCGACCAGACTCAGGTCTTAACAAATTACAGAGAAGTTATAAAGGCAGAAGTGATAAATCATTATTTTCGCTCATAAACAAGGTGTGAGTTTACCTGTCCAAGTTCACCCTTAAAGTGGTTCCGAAGACGAGTAAGCAGTGACTGATAGTATCGCGTCTCAGATGGAGCGTTTGGATGTTGTTTTTGGAAACTACATCAACCATCTTTTTTCTTTTTTTTTTTTGCTTACTGAGCCTAATAAACGTGAAGTAATAAAGGTTGTTGACACAGTTGTTCTTCTCTTCACTGTGAGCGGATTTCTTGGAATTCTTTAAATACATTTTATCAGGTAAAGGCTTGGATGCTGATTGGTTGGTGTTTTCGCTGAATTTTAACTCCAGCTCCTTAAACTTAACCCCTTCAGACCGCCATGATTAAACCGCATGCAGGGTTGTTAAAAGGAATTTAAGGGCCCCAGGAAAATCCCCTTAAAAATCTGAAATGTACTGTACTGTGTCTAAATATATATATATACACAGCACCTACAGAGATGTGCAAAAATGACAGCAGCATGTTATGTTATGTTAACTGCCCAAAGGTTGATTTATACTTACAGGTTCATAGAAGAAGCCCACGAAACCTTCAAGATTTGAGCATGTTTGTATGGAAGAATTGGCCAAAATCACCCATGACCAATGCATGTGACCAATTTCTCCATACAGGAGGTGTCTTGAAGCTGTCATTGCCACAAAGGTTTTTTTATGACGTAATAAATACATTTCAGTAAGTGTGATCGATACATGTTCCCTGTGTCATTTCGCTTTATTACACATAACTTAATTTCTGGACATCTATGGTTTGCTTTTGTTGTATGTGTGGATTGCATGGGTTCTTACCGACATCTGGGGAAAATGTCATGTCAATAGCACCTATAGAAATATAATTACTGAGAAAAATGCTGGCGTGTTCAGTTCTTACTTCACCCGTTGTATGTGCATGTTCAGAACTGTTCACAGACTCATAAAAATCCAGATTCAGATGTTTATGTCATATCTGATTAATTACTATATTAAAAAACTCAGCCTTATCTCTATAAAGTTTTTTATAATGTTTTAAGCCCATCTTGTTGTGGTGTTCATTGGAATGGACATGAACAAATACTAAGGAAAACCTAAGTTAGAAAAAAGAATGTTTTTTTTCAGCTTTGTTATTTATGTTGGAGTGAAGAAATGTGGGTCTGAAGGGGTTAAGGTGTGTCCTATTGTGTGCTGCTGCATATAGGAGGGGGGGGGGAGGAATTTAGGTGTGGTAAATATATTACAAAATAAAATCAGTTTTTCCTTTAGTTTGGTCATGAATAAGACTGACATACTGCTTAATCTCATCAAAATGATAGTATTCCATCGTATATATAAAAATGTATATACATTTTCAGCAGATGCTTTTCTCCAAAGTAGGCATTAGTGGGAAGGGTCCTGCCCAAGGACCCACAATGGCAGCTCATTTCCCCACACTGGGTATTGGAACCCAGGGCCTCCTGTGAGCAAGTCGTGATCTTACCACTTGTGCAGTTGTTGATCATATAATGTGTTGTGTAGTATAGCTAGCGCAAGAGTCCTGCTCTTCAGGAAATGAGATGTTACACCTCTCAGCTATATTTATTTTTTCATCTTAAAATAGTTTTTTAGCATTTCAATGTAAACTACATAATAGTTTAAGAATTTCATGATTAATGTTGAGGAATAAAAAATATAAAATAACATTAGAATATTTTTTTCTTTACATTTTATCTTTTTCAAGTTTGCCCTTCTTTAATAATCATCGGTGAAGCTGTGAGATCTCCTTCAGCTCCTCACATCCAAGTGCTGCAGCCACCAGAGGTGTCAAGTAACAAAGTATAAATACTTTACCATTTAGCTATCTATACTATAGTTGTTGTTTTTTTTTTTTTACAGTTTTGTTTTCAGACAACTTTTTACTTCTACTCCTTACAATTTTTTTTAATAATCTTTAATTTCTACTCCTTACATTTTGTTGGTTTTGTTTTATTTAAGTTCTTTTTCGTTATGGAATGTTGGTATTTAAAGTATGAAGTATGAAATTGCAAAATTGCAAATGTAAATTTAAATAAAATATTGTTTCTGCCAAAGGAGCTCTGGTCGGGCAAACTTGTTCCCCCAAAACGTTTTAGAAGAGGGAAGGCTGCAATGCGTCACGCTGTAATCCAATCAAATAGTTGGAAGTATTTGACAAACGTGGCCATTGACCAATAACATGTTTGTAAACATGATAGAAAGGGGCGGGACTTTCACCGTCCTTTGTCATCAGTTTACGGCGCATTGTTTTGTTTTGGGACAGAAAATAACAGAAAATACTACTTTATTTCCCCCGAAAAACTATGCGTTCGAGATGTCTGTTTGCGTCGCATAACAAGAAGCATACAGGGCGTTTATTTTAGTTGTTTTTTCATCATTCGGAAAGTGTGGTATTTTTCAGGTCAAACTAGCTTAGCAGTTAGCTGGTTAGCCTGTCGAAAGGCTGTCCTGATTGGAGCAGGACGAATTCCAGGCTGTGCAAAGAAGGGAACAAATCTCAGCTGCTATGCTCCGAGCAAGTTGGTCAACGTTGGATTGTATGCTTTATGTTGAGTTTGTGACCCTGTTAAGCTGAAATATGCTTTCCTTAGATTAAAATTAACCCCTCGGACAGTTTGGTACTTTTGTAGCCTTTTAAAAGTGCCAATTGAACGGTCTGTTAGCCACGTAGCTACCTCTCAGTAGGAGGACATTTAAAATGGCGGAAGGCTGGCCCATTCCTCCAGCTCTGGTTGTCCTGCTGCTAAGTTTGAGTGCCTGTGTCACTGGTTCTTGTCCCGCTGCGTGCTCCTGTCTAAAAGGACACAGCGGGGTCCATATTTTGGACTGCAACAGGAAAAGATTGTCCGCTGCCCCCTTGGACGTCCCAGATGGGATAACTCATGTGTAAGTACACAAGTAGATCTAGTAACAAGCGTGTGTTTGAACAAACTGCACTTATTTGTTGGGAAAAAACGACAGAGAAATTAAACTGTAGCCCTCCATACTCTTATTAGTACATATATATATATATATTTGGTATTTTATATATGTTTAATATTTATAGTAATGTTTGTGTGTGTGTTTTCCTGTAAACTAAGTAATCATTTTTGTTAAATTAAACTGTCCATGTTGTTTACAAGCAACATGAAAACAAAGGAGTGATTTTTGAATTAAAGAGCCAGAACATTTTCAAAATCTTTTAAAAAGAAATTGTCCAGATTTTTTACCTAATGCAAATGATTTTTTTTAGCAGTTATCTTAAGAGCTCACTGTGCTGATTTCTATGTAATTTCATTTCAGCACCCTGAATCACAACGAGCTGACTGTTTTCCCCTCTCTTGGAAACATTTCTTCTAACATCACCTCACTTCTACTGTGAGTACAGAACCGCCATCATGTTTCCTTTCTGCCACTTATTTAAAGATTTTTTTGTTTTAATTTCCACTGTTTATGTGTAGCACTCACTTTTCTTTTTGAAGCCTGTTCATTACACAGCATTTGATTTGCACCATTTGATGCTCATCCACCTTTACCTCATTAGAAATTCCTATTTTATAATGTTTTAAAGAAAAACAAACAAACTACACTTAATTGTTTAAATTCAATCTTTAGACCCTATTCTCTGGTTTTTAACACCTGGATTTTTTGTTCTTACCTATTTTTTTCTTGTTTTTTGTTGGTTTTTATCACTTATTGCATGACATACCTTATATGTTGTTGTGCAGCACTTTCAAAAACACCCCTGTTTTCTTTATAATGTTATGTAAATAAATTGGGTTAGATTATCCTTTGAAAAAGTAAAATTTCCAGACTCCACACAGCAGAGTTACAAATATAATATAATATTATATAACCCTCCCCTTTAAATTCAGTTTCAAGGTGTGCAGTATTGCAATTAAAAAACTCTGCTTATGATATTTCAGACCCCTGCTTACCGGTAGTGTGGATGGTCAGATCAGATGACTTTCTATATTTTCAGTGTCCATTTTACTCAGTGTTTATGAATACTTGTGACATAAAATCCTAAACTTGTTGGAGAGTAGTTGGGTCATGATGGAAGAGAAAGAAGTGTAGACTGGAAAATGTGGGTTAGTACAACTGATGTTATTTCATTGTTGAACAGCTATAATCCAAATAATTCTTGTTTTATTTTTTCTGTTACAATGCAGCCGATTTCTGAAGTAAATTT